TTATGCTGCACTCAATTCTTTGCCTAAGAAGTCTCTTACTGGTCTTGTCAATCAGTTGTACACAGCTAAGCTTATTAGTAATGAAGTTAGAGAAGCTCCTTCAATGGAAGAGTGCATTGATGAGTTCAAGGCTAGTCTTAGTTTTATGGAGGAATTACCTCAAGTGCAGGAGCACTGTCAAAAGTTCTTAAGCTCTTTCATTGCTGTAAGAGGCAGTTATGCTAATGCAGCAAAAGCCTTAGTTAAAGCTATTAGAAAAGAATTGGGATTTGATTTTATTAATATTGATGATTAGTAATAATTTTAATTGATCTTGTTTGATTCATTTATATATACGTACTGTATGACTCCAATAAAACTTAATTTGAAGAATAATTCGGGCGAGCCTAAGTGAGCTCCATTCTAGCAGTACAAATACTGGATGTTTTTAAAATTGACGTTCCTTTTAAGGTGATATTCCTTCTCTGTAAAGGCTCTTTGTCTTACTGAAGCTCACCACAAGTTAAATCACACTCGAAACCTGGGAAATTAAAAAAATATGTGTGCATTTGATTAAAATTATTTACATACATGATGGTATTAATGCATTGGGTTTCACAAAAATGATTTTTTTAAAACAAAGGTATTAATGTTAATTTTAAAGCTATTAATAATTTAAATTATGTACATAACTGACTATTATTAATGTATTGAGTACCTTGGATTACAGGTATCTGGTCTTACAAAAAGGTCATACTCAAAATGGCTCACACAATCCACACGTCCCAAGTTACCTACAACGACCATCAGTTATTTCTAATAATCCTTGATCTCACCTCCTTCAAAACAAGCATCAAAGAGCAAGTGACCGTTATTAATTGGACCTTTATAGCTGTCTGGGAGTGGAATATAGTGAGAAACGTTAGCCACAAAATCTCCTTTAGATGAGCTTTCCGTTTTGTCCATTAGATTTATTTCTCCTCTGAATCTTCTCTGTCAGAGGATTTCAGAATTCCTCATGATGAGCAGGCGGCCATTTTAATTGCGTTGCCAGGGTAACACCACACCTTTCAGGGTGACGTCATTAAGGCGTGGCTCGAATAAAAATGGCAGCCAAAACAACTGGTTAGTATTTTTTAATTTTTGACTCGTGTGTTGTTACTATTAGTGTATCATTCAGTTACTGTTACCTCTTGTTATCTATAGACTATCAACCAGTGGAGAGGAATAGTCACTCCACTGTACGGGTAGGAGACTACCTGTACATGTGGGGTGGGACCCAGCCTGATCCCCCTAGAGTACATAATAATGAAAAGAAGAAATCAATGTATTCTGTGATGGAGGTATGTCACCTAAGGACTGGTAGGTGGGAGCAGAAACCCACCACTGGTAACCCTCCACTGGGTGTTAGGGGCTATGCAGCTGCTACCATTGGAAGGGAAATCTTTTATTTCGGAGGCTATAGGGACTCTTATCATAATAGTTTATGCAGGTAAATGTAATACATGTCGTTAATAATATATAATACTTGTACAGTTTCGAAGTTGATACCTTCAATTGGAAGGAACTTTCTCCTACTACATCTCATCATGGTCCTATGATGAAGAACTACTGTGGCATGATAGCAATAAAAGTGAACGGTGAGGACTATCTTGTAGTAATTGGAGGATATGGATCAACTTCTAATAATTCACCTAAACAACCTGGTGCCCAGTACAGTGATCAACGATGCAATGAGATCCATTTCTATAAACTCTCAACAGGTCAGAGCACATACAGTTTATATTAATATAATGAAGTATTGTTATTTGGTGGTTCTCCACTCAGACTGGTTGCATTGAGAATTGCTTGCTTGTTTGTTCATGGTTGTCACTCCTAATTATTTGATAATATGATCAAAGAAATATCAACTAGTTTGCTCCAACCAATGCATTCCATTCACACTAATTATTATTATTGATATTTTTAGGACAATGGATATCACCGACTGTCACTGGAGACAGACCACCTCCTATTGATGACTTCACTTTAACATCAATTAATAATTCCAGTGCTATATTATTTGGAGGTGACACTGATAACGAAAAGAGTAACAATGTATATATTCTTAATTTTAGTGATACATCAGTGGTAAGTATATTATTAGTATGATTACATTAATTATTAATTAATAACGTGTTGTATGTGTGTATTATTATTATTATAACACTGATTGTGTGGGTGTGGTTTATAATAATTAAGTTTTTATTTTATTACTTTAGAATTGTTCAAAGTTATCTAATCCTGGAGGATCAGTACAATGGCCTAAGGAAAGACGTTCTCATTCCAGTGTATTGATTAACACTAGCTCAGGACCACACCTACTAGTGGTGGGTGGATGTCTTACTGATGATAGTTGGATATTTAATATTAACAATAAATCATGGAAGGAACTGGTAAGTATATTATAATATAATAACAATACATCATAACTGGTTATTATTATGTACTAGTAATCAAGTATTGTACTTATGTATGTTATACTGTATAATGTAAATAATTAATAATTACTGAAAGAATGGTTAATATTAATTATACAACACCGTATTGGTTTAGGGTGTGGCTTATAGTTTGTGGGTGTGGTTTGTAAATAGATGATATAAATGATATAATATAATTAATTAATTTACAAATATATTTTTTTCATAGAAAGATATACCAGACAATGTCACTGAGAAATTTTATCATTCTCTCTCAGTTTGGAGTGTGACTCCAACCACTAACTGGATAATTGTGTTTGGAGGAACGAGAGACTTTGTTACACCAATAAGTGATCCAGCAGTTATTGAACTCAGTGAGTACATGTAAATACAAATGTATTGAATATACACAATTTGTACATATTGAATATAATAATTATAAATTAACAGTATACCCTTTTTAATAGTATTTGATATTATTATAAATGTGCATGTACATGTACTTGTCATTGATTCAACTATTGTGTTACTGTATAGGATATACTAGTAATAATGATTGGTCTACTAGTATAATACCTCTGGACCAGTATCAAGAGAAACTACAAGAAAGGAGAAGAGAATGGGAAGCATCTCAACCTGTTCAACCTGAGGATAGAAGAGAAATAGACCGTCTGACACATGTACTACAAGAAAGGGAAAGGGAACTAGAGGAGGAGAGAAGAGAAAAGGAACAAGTTAGAAACAGACTACAGCAACAACTTCGAGGAAGAGAACGACAACTTCAACAAGCATATCAACAAGGACAAGAAAGAGAGAGGAAAATTCAACAGGCCAGGGAACGAGAGAGGCAGGCTAGAGAAAGAGAGCAGAAACTTCAGCAACAGTTTCAAGAAAGAGAGAGAGAATCTGAAGAAAGAGAGCGACAGCTTCAAAGGCAAGTAGAAGGTGGCCAGCAAAAAGAACAGGATCTTCAACAACAGCTTCAAGAAAGAGAGCAACAGCTTGAGGAAAGAGAGAGAGAGTTCCGAGAAAGAGAGAGAGAGTTCCGAGAAAGAGAGAGACAACTTGAAGAGCAGATACATGTGGCAGAGTCTTCCTGGGTAGTGAATAGAAGAGAGATTACAATGACAGAGGTAGTCCTTGGTGAAGGAGGATGGGGAGAGGTGAAAGTGGCTGATTTTCGTGGTCTGAAGGTTGCTGCAAAGTCTCTCCAAAAACTTATCATCTCTCCGTATAACATTGGGACATTCTCTTGTGAAATGAATATTGCTTCTAAAATACGTCATCCTAACCTCCTTCAGTTCATAGGAGCGACTACAGAGGGTAATCCAATGATCCTGACAGAGCTAATGCCGACGAGCCTAAGAAAGGAATTAGAGAGTGGAGGAGTGGCCTATCCTGCGATACTGAGCATCAGTTTAGATGTAGCCTGTGCTCTCAATTACCTTCATCTCTTCAAGCCTCATCCTATACTACATAGAGATGTCAGCAGTGCTAATGTACTCCTTCAACCAATGGGAGGGTATGGTTATTGTTGGAAGGCTAAAGTGTCTGATTACGGCACAGTTAATCTTCAACCTCTTTCTAGAACAAGCAATCCTGGTAATCCTGTCTATTTAGCTCCAGAATCGTTCAATCCAAATCAACATTCTCCTGCAATGGATGTCTTCAGTTATGGTGTCCTCCTTATAGAGATGGTCGTTTGTGAGTTTCCAGACGTAGGAAAGAGAGTGGCTCAGATTAAAGCTATCAAGAGGCCAACATTGAAGAATCTGATTGAACGTTGTCTGATAGAGAACTACAAAGATCGTCCAACAATGTCTGACATTATAAAAGAATTGAATGAAAGCATTTAGTGATGTAGGGAATTACCGTTTTTATTTAGATTATTTTTAGATTTAAATTTTGTTTCTTTGCTTTGTTTAAATTCTTGTGTTCTTTTGACTTTTGCTTTAAATTTTTAAAGATTTTATTTTAAATTTTAAACTGTTTCAAGTGTCCGGAAATGTACGAGAAATGTCAGCCAGTTTTTAGTGTGGGCGCATGCGCAGAAGGAACACGTGAATTAAAATGGCTGACGTGACTTAGGTAACTAGCCATTAGGGAGAGATTGTTACCATCCCGTAAACTATCCGTCAACGGATTTTTACAGGCTTCGCCTGTATACTATACTGGGGCTTCGCCCCAGTATACTATCTTATAACAATATAGAAATTAAGTATTAAGTATAGATACGACAATCAGTGGTGTTGAGGCAGCAGGATCGTGGTGGCTCAGTGTGGAAGGCGTGGGGCAGAATGTGGACGTGGTACTGGTTCGAATCCAGCTCAGGACAGGGCAAATTTGCTTTTCTTTTTTTTTTACTTTCAAAAATTTAACTTTTTACCTTTTCTACTTAGCCTTCTCCCCTAGTTATGTTAGTCCCCTAGTTAGCTATTGTTTTTTAGGACTTAGCTATTGTTTTTAGGGTTTAGGGGTTAGGGTGGCGGTTTTTTTTTTTTAGAGCGTCCCTACTCAATTTAGGAGCCCCTTAGTTGGTTTAGGGTTTAGTTTTTTTTATTTCAGAGAGTCCCAAGGCTTTAAAAGTCCCTAGAGCAGTCCTGACAAAAACTAAGTTCCCATTTTGCACCGATGCGCATGCGCACAAAC